CACAAAGGTCTGTCTGACCTTAAGTTTAATGACGTCTGAATATTGATCATGTGCTGTGAACACACACACACACATGCCAATTACAATGAAATCATTTCTTTCACTGTTTACACCCCCAGTGGAGATAATTCCCTGTCTGTCATTATGTTGTGATGTGTCGTCAATAAATTCCTGTGAAACTCTTCACAATAAAGACGACAAAACAAACACAGCTTCACAGCTTCATCTGGCAGGGCTGCAGTTGTTTGAGCTGTTGTGATTCTTGTACTAATAAAAAGCCGAGCACCAGGTTGGAGTTTCTCTCTGGAACAAGACAGCAAAGGCACAGCTGCCTTGGACAAATGCAAAACCAGGAGGTTTGCACTGTGGAGAAAGCCACATTATTGCTTTGTGAAGATGACTCCTGCTGCTTTCATGTTTGTAATCTTCTCAGAAAATATGCTTCTGAAAGCTTATTCTTGTCCAGGTACCATTCTCTCTGAATAACCCACGATGAACAAAAAGCACCTTGTTGGGTTAGTTAGCCTTTTAGCCAGCCATCTTTTCATTCAAATCTCCAATTATGTTTTACCTTTGGCTTGATTTCTAAAAACATCCTGTAGTTTTCATCTGTAAAACACAGTCTTTCAAATATGTGCCTTGGTAGATGATAAGATTTGTTCATGGTAATGCTGTTGCTCTTTTCCTTTAAAGAAATAGTAAGTTATGCCACCTACAAGCAAACAGTCAACCACCTTGGCAACAGGCAGTCAGATTCACCTGCCATCAGATGTCTTCAATCCACTGCCATTGTCAAAACGTTTTGATGAGTGTATTGTTGTTTTCCCAAAGTTGGGGCACTGTGGCACTGATAAAAACACATTTAAAAATTATTTTAGCCACCTGCCTTATATTGTAGAATAATGACAACAGCAGCAATGGGGGATTTTTTTTTTCCCCACATCATTAACTTAACCAGAATGAGCTGGTCACCACTTTGATCCAGACTTGTGCAGGAGTCTCTGTGTATCAACTAACTAAAAGTAAACCCGGTGACTCAACACACATTTGGAACACACAGTCAAAGTTTAAAAGGATGTGTTCATCAGATAGAGTACGCTCTCACTCTGATGAACACATGCTTTAAAAAGTCCATGTTCTCCAGATCTCATCATTCCACAAAAAGACAAATATCGTCATGAAGTTTGATAGAGATGCTGCTGCAGACCCCAGAATGAACTGTAAAGATGGTGACCATAGATATACACATAGAAAAGACTAACTCCTCTTCAGTGCAGCAATGCATCACCACAACCACCATATTGGTACAGGGAAAAGATCACAACTTGCTGAATTTTTTTTTTACCAGTCTTGGTCTTTCCTAATTTTTGCAGTCTCCTCTAAAAACCCCTGAAGCAGCACTACAAATAAAACCACACACAAGCACATCACTGACTGATGAGGTTTTTTTTTTTTTGCATTTTACTGATGTTGCGTTAGCAAAAATGTCATATATGTTGTCATCATCTGATAGTTGCTTATGCTGATTGAGCATTAGTATCCGCTATAAATGTATAAGGATGCGTGTACAGTGTCTATGAGTTGTGTTGGCTTTAGAGAGGGATTGCTGACTCTGATAAATTACATTAAACCCGTCAAGACAGTAATATATTGAAGGGTAGTTTGTCATCTAGGAAGTGTTATTCCTTGTTGTTTGGTTTTGGCATTTCTTTTACTTGAACATCCAAAAGCAGCACAAAAATCATGACATTTTCTATTGTTTTAACTTAGTATCTGTGTGTATACAGGATATATATGTGTATATGTATGGATGGTAACCACAGAAAACTATTCAGTCTTAACACCAGGATAATAGCGTTGCATCTGTGGCTCAAAATACTTCACTTACTGTAAGACTCTAAAATGTAACACAGAGTTTAGGTGTATATTCTGTGTTAAAACCACCAGCACACATCAGTTCTTATAGTGACGTTGTACTTTTCACTAACAAAGAAGTGCTCCAATTTCTTGGTTTTGGCTACATTTGACTAAATATGTGAGGCTTGTATAATATAACTGAGGGACTGATAGAGCTGAAAGACCATGAGTGATGTTCTCCCGTACAACTCTGGATTCAGCTGTGAGTGCTGATTAAAATGTGTTAGTATTTGTTTGATTAGAGGGAGTGTTGTTAAAATGGGACACCTTGCAAATTGGGACAGTTAAGTTTGCAGTGAATATCTTTTCAAGAATAACATAAAATAATCCCAAACCAATGCTTATTCGTTGCTGAAAAAAAAAAAAAAGAATAAAACAAGTTCACATGAGTATGATGTCATAAAAGTGGGTGTGGTATCACACTAAGTTGTTCTGAGAATCACAGCGGTAACTGAAATAACAATGACATTACATTTTTTAAATTATGAAAATTTAAAAACATATTGCACCTTTTGAAAAATGATAATGATTTGTCACTGTTCCATTTTGACAGTTTCATATTGTCAAAAAGGGACAGCTTGCTTTGTTAAGTTTATGAATTTGATTAAATATATGTTCTTGTTTATTAGGATCCCCATTAGCACCAGCATGAGCTTCGGCTATTCTTCCTGGGGTCCACACACATACACACAATCTCACTTATACACACAACAACAACAAACAAAACAAAACATAACAACTCGTCTCGTTAACTTTACAAAATAAGGAAGAGAAACAAATTGTCATTCAGTACACTATACATTAAATCATATACAGAATTATAGATCCATCATTATTAATCTGGAGCGCATAATTCTGGCTTGTGTAACTGTTCTTTATTTTTTCTTCTTTTTATTTTAGTAAGGCAGTTAATGTTTATAAAGTCGTAACACTTTAAGTGCTGAGACGTGACACTGATTCCATTCCTTTACTACCAATTTTTTACCATTTTACCAATAGTCACTATACATGTCTCTAGTAATGTGTCTGTACGTCTTAATACAGTACTACTTCAGTTAAAACATTTATTGCACTGTTACAAAGATGTTTTTTCCTTTGCAAAGCAGTTTCAAAGTTTCTTTAATTGGATTTAATGTAGCACGTTTGCATGCACTGAGGGTTTACTTTGGGACTGGAATGGCAAAGAGGGATCAGAGGGATTTGGATAAAAGTGTGACACAATTATTATAATCATCTTCAGTCTCCATCCTGTCAGGAATTCTGACTCGCAGCCCAGATCAGAGTACTGATTACAAAGGTGGAACTGAACATATTCGGGTTGACGGGCAGAATGTTCAAACAACATGGCACACTGTGAATAAAAGGTCACACTCCACAGCAAAGAGAAAATACAGGTGGAATGGAAACGATGAGCTCTGCATGCTATATGACTCGTGCTAAATCTAGTGTGTGAAGTAATGCATACAGATTTTATTCAAAGTAATGCTTTTTTTATTGTCGCTTTTTACTATTTATCACTCTCTTATTGTCATTTCACAGGTAAAGCATCAAGCAAACATTCACACTGAGCTCAGAGAGAAAGCAGACAAAACTGGATGGACACAGCTCTAAAAACTAGCAATCTTATCAAACCACTTTGGTAATAACAGTCTGACTGTAAATCCTTGGACAAACACTCAGAAAAATATTGGTTGAATGCCCCTTGTACAAACAACACAGGAGAGGCAGGTGTGGCCACGTGGCTGGAGATCACAACTGAGCTCAAAATCTGCCAAAATCACCAACCTGGCCTCGATAACACAACGCATGGATGTGAAGAAGACATTTTTGGTAAAGAAGCTACAGAGAGCTGCCTGTTGCCAGTGGCCTTCCTGTTTGTTTCCTTTAGCGTGACCTTAGCTCAATTGATTACCACAGCAATTAGTCACGCTTCATCAGCTGAGAAAACCCCAGTGGTGCCACATTAGCTCAGACTTAACTCCTGCTATATTATTGTGAGCATTCTTTATTTTGGGGCCACAATTAGCTTTTTTTTCTTAGTCTTTTCATTAAAGAGTTATTAGTTTCTCAATCTGAAATTAGTTTTCACTTAATTTCAGATTGATTTCATCAACCAAAACAGTTTTTGATAGGTTTTGCCACTTAATCAGTCTTGTGTTTAGCTTACTTTTTTGTCCACCTTTTATGGCGACAGAAAGACCGACTCTCCTGAAAAATCTCAGTTGTCATTAACTCTGGCTGTCTGAACAAAAACACTCTCATTCCTCACCCAGCAATTTCATTAACATTAGCACAGCTACTTGTTCTCTCTACTGCAGAGCAGAGAATCATTCAGAAGCTGAAAACTGCTTAATTATCAGCATTAATCCTGAAACTTTAGATTGCACATTTCTTTTAATGGATAAACACTAAAGATAATAATATTCCGTCCACATCACAACACTTGTTATTGCCTTTTCATTGTATGGCTCGGCTATAATGTTTCCACTTCTACTCAAATTCTTAGTAGATTGTAGATAAATTTAATTCCATTTTTTTGTAGTTCCAAGAAGCAATAACATCAGATAACATCACTGAATGTAAAATGTTTCTAAATAACATTAATAATAACAGTGCATAAAATCAGCTGCTGAACAGGAGTTATTTTGGGTGGTACAAGATACTGTTTTACTTGTCAGCACTTCAGAGTTTTAACTCTGCAAGTCTTTTCAGAAAAATTGTTTTTATTCAGTGTTAAAAAAAAAAAAAAGTGCCACATGTCACTTCTTTTCATTGCTTCAGTGGTTTTATGAATGTTAATCTAGTTTATAGGTTATTAGCATATACTTTTTAAATCATGGTTTTACAAAATGACCACTTAGTACAACATTAAAGAATTTAGAATTGGAATATTCAAACTGCATAACCAAGACTTGGGCAGTCTTACAGCTTAGTTTGCCACAAAGTCTGTTTTAACACAAAGGACAAGAATACAGCAGCTCATACACTTTCTTCATAAGTTGTGCTCAGCACCTTAAGAACCTCACAGGACTGTAGATTCCATGTTAATGGGCATTTAATCGAGATAGAGAGCCATCCCTACAATGAATGCTACCTCAGTGAACCAGTCAGACTGCCCCGAGGTGCAGGTCCCAGTGTCTGTCTTCTTCACCATTGGAGTAATGAGCCTGACTGAGAACTTCCTGGTTGTGGTGGCCGTCATACGGAACAGAAACCTCCACTCCCCCATGTACTGCTTCATCTGCAGCCTGGCGACCTTCAACACTATCGCCAGCCTCACCAAAACCTGGGAGACACTGATGATTGCCATAGCTGATGTGGGGCACCTGAAGAAGACAGGGTCCTCCGAAACCAGTCTGGATGATGTGATGGACTCCCTGCTGTGCATGTCATTCGTGGGCTCTTTTTTCAGTTTCCTGGCCATTGCTGTAGACCGGTATGTATGCAGGTCTTGGATTTGGACATAGAAATGTATTTTAAACTGTTCATTTGACAATGTGAAGGATAGATTTGCATGATAGTGTGAAAATACTTCCCTACTAATCCACAAGAATCCCCTCTTCTAAAACGTTATGATGCTTCGAGCAATTTTATTTCATCTTAAATGGAGTGAAAAACTTGCTTTAGTGACTGTGCAGGGAAACCAGACGCATAGTGGGCATACTGCAGGTTGTAGGAGTGATTTATTCTGCTTGCTGCTGAGCTGGCTGTTTTAAACTGTTTCTCTGTGGATTTGGGGCCCTGTAATGAATTATCCCCTGCTTTTATTTTAATGTGATGCGTCTGGTCTTATTAACTAGGGCCCCAAGGAAAGATTGGAATAACTTGTCACTGGACTCTAACTCACAGATGCAATGCTAAACACACACTGCAGTGGCTTTTGCATATTTACCCATAAATCAAGTGTACTTTACATTACCACCATGATACAACTCAACACATTTTCCCTCCTTCCAGACAGCCACTCACTTCACACCATGTCAGTATGGTATGAGAACACACAGAAAGTGAAAGCGTAGCTGTAATTCCTCACAGTGAAGGTTCAACTGCTTTACTTTTGGAAACGTTGCAACATCTGATGTCTTTGAATGGGCAGCTAAAAAACACTGTATTCACCAACATGTTGGTAAATCGAATCCAGAAGCAATCTTTACATGGATTTTTATTAACTAGAAAACAGATATTTAGGAGTTCCTTGGATGAAAATGATTTATGTCAAAGAAAGCAGAATTCTTATCTGTAACTAATATTGAGTTTATTACATTTTCATTCTTCACTTATGTTGAAAGTGCTCCATGACTTAAATCTGTGGGGGATTTTGAAAAATGTCATATAACATGGGGTAGATGTTTTTTTTTTTTTTCATTCTCCTTTTCCCAGGGCTCATCGACAAGCTCTTCACTTTAAAGCTACATAAGTGCATTAGCAGAACAAGCTGAAAAAAGGGTTCTTAAAAATGTTTGTAAGTGGTCACTTGAGGAATATCTGTGTCTTTTTCCGTTATCGGATCCAAACCCCTGTTGCTAACTTGGTCTAGCATCACGTTAGTGCTGGGCAGGTCCTGTAGAGTGAATTCATTATCGACCACTGCAGAATTTTGCATAAAGTCAGCTGCTAATGTAAATTTGGCAATGCCAGTCAGATGCAGCTCCAGGCTTGGCTCAGTTCTCAAATTTAGGCCACAGAGGATGAAAGAGGATGAAGAACTTGGAGTCATTTAGTCACTGGATCATTTATTAGTACTAAAAAAATAAGAATTAACGATCAGATATTAGATTATAAACTGATTTTAGTTTGTTTTCCAGCTACATCACCATATTTCATGCACTCCGATACCACAACATCATGACGATGCGGCGCACTGGGGCCATCCTGGGGGTCATCTGGATGACATGCGGGGTGTTGGCTGTGCTGATGGTGAAGTTCTTCGACTTCAAGGTCATCATGATGTGCTTCGTCACCGTGTTCATTGTCTCCTTGGTGATTATTTGCTTCCTCTACGCCTACATGTTCATGTTAGCCCGCATCCATGCCAGAAAGATTGCAGCTCTCCCTGCCGGTGACAGCGGCAGGTGTCGGCACCATCGGAGGTGGGGCAGCAACATGAGAGGAGCCCTGACTCTCACCATCCTGTCTGGAGCGTTCATGGTGTGTTGCGCGCCGTTCTTCCTCCACCTCAGCATCATGACGGTGTGCCCCATGAACCCATACTGTGAGTGTTACCGATCGCTGTTCCAGCTGCACGTGGTGCTGCTGATGAGCCACGCCCTCATCGACCCAGCCATCTACGCCTTCCGCAGTGCCGAGCTCAGGCACACTTTCAGGAAGATGCTGCTTTGTTCAGACTGGAAGCTGTGTTCATAAAGAAAATCTGTTTACACCTTTTAGTGGATGCCTGTTATTTATTCACAGAAACAATGCAGCTGCTCTTTAATTAAATACGCCTTTACATTCATTAATTTAAATTCATTGGGTTGCGCAAGTTCACACCTGGTACCTGAAATTGGCTACATCAAGGCTACTGCCAGCAGTGATTGAGCTTTCTTTATGTTTAAATTAACACGACACTCTAATTGTTGCTTTCATTTGAAAACTGCCATCTCTCTGCCTTGCTGGCTGTTTAACTCTCCATCCCTCTTTCATCCTTTTCTCATGGGACTTGGATGCTGTCAAACCCAGTTTGAAGTTACCCATCCGAACTACTTTCTCATAACAACTGTATTTTCTCATTAACTTATGGTTTCATCATTTTACAATCATTATCAATCATTTTGATCATTATTTTGTCTTTTAAATGGGTGAGATGACTTCCACTATAATCAATGTGTTGACAATATTATAAAAATACTATATGATAAAAAACAGATCTTAATTTTATAATTTGCTTTTATTCAGACACTTTTAAATAAAACAATACATCTTAAGCCACGTAACCAACACAAACATCTGTCGTTTCAAGTGTAACTCACATTTAAATTCCTTCATACCACCACTTGATTACTTGAGATTCATTCCCACAGATTGTAATATGCTCTCACTGCACGTACACAAATGACTTAGCATGCAATTAGCAATCAAGATGGAGACTTAATCTCTGGCCAGAGTAACATCACATGCAGTGTTTTGTGCTGCTGTTTCTGTGGGAACAAGAACTGAGTACTTCACAGTCAGTAACAATGAATCATTTTGCATAATTGCAGATATGCTGTGTTGGCGGTGAATGCACAGTGAGCAAATGTGATGTTTTCTCTTCGTTAAATAAACTTATAAGGAGAAATTATATATGCAACGTATATCAATCAGTTTTAACAAAAGCACTTTTCCTTGTTTTATACATTTGTGTGCATGTTCATATGCATTTCTTTTGATCTCACGTATTCAAAGTCTTCACAATAAACATTGAAGGAAGTCACAATAAGGCAATTACAACACAGAACAGAGAAAAGGTTCCACTGAACAGAGTTTTCTTTATGTTGCCTGCAAAGACATCTCTATGTGTTTAAAGCCTGAGGACACAAATGATACAAATGGCTTGCTCTTGTTTATGCAATAACTATGAATATATAATACTGGAAAATATTTTTTTAGCATCTACCATGCAGCATTGATGAGTAGCATTCTGCATGAAAAGGCTGCTTCAGTGGATAGCTGCATGTTGCAATAAAAATCTGTCAAACTTCTCAGTTGGGAGGTAGGCATCACCAGTACACACTTACAGAGAGCACTATGCAATTTGTACATTCATTTATACATTTCATGTGTAACCTTACGGCATCTTTACATCATTTAATACAGATAGACATGAAGAGATCATAAGGCGGCACATTGACAGAATAGAGCAAGAGAATGACTTCACATTCAACTCATAGCAGAAACTCCTGTGCAGCTGAACACTGGCAGATTTAAGGACGCTGCTTGTTTACTGTAGCACTAATACAGCAGCAGGGAACACAGGGGATGCTGTCCGAAAGTTCAGAAAGCAGACAACTTTACATCCACTTCCATGTAAGGAACAAGGTAATGTACAGTCTGTCTGAGGTCAGAGACACACAATGATTTCTCAGATCGCTTGAGGTATAAACACATGATCCAATAAAGATAGTCAGGTCAGTTAGATACATCGGTTAAAAGATAATCAGCTTGTACTAAATGAAACTCGGATTAGATGTTAGACCTTGGAGATGCAGAGGCTAGTGTTCTTTTCTGCCTTTTGTTATTCTACACAGAATTGTATTTTTGTGCTCGTTCGTGCTTCTTTACTTGCTTTTTAGCAGGTGGCTGTAATGTGAGAGGCAACTTCAGGCAGTTTGTCATTTGGCCTTCCAAAATGATAACTAAAGCTTGCAACAAACCTAAAGGTCGGGTGAAACCCTGAATGAATAGTGGATTGGTTCAACAAACTAAAGTCACAGTTAGAATGGAAGATAAATAACAACAACAAAAAATACAAATGACAACATGCTGAATGTTGTGGAGGTAGATGACCCCATGTTTTCTTGTACTAAAACGCCCATGAATGACTCTCACAGTCATGTTTGGGGCAGCTGTGGGGTATGGGGTGCCAGCATATTAGAGTTGTGATCATTCTTTTAGCTGCTGGAAGTGGTTGTTTATTCACAGGAAAAGTACAGCTGCACTGCTTTACATTCCAGGGATATATATGTATATAGTTAGGGGCAAAGTAAAAGACCTGTAGCACTACCCACCCTCTCTTTGGCATCCTGCTGTAATTCTTGAGAACAAGTTGTTAGCTTTCCTTTCTTCTTTTTTTTCAATTTGTTGTTGCGCTGACTACATCCCTTCTTCATTATTCTGTTCTCTAAGGCTTTAATGTGATCACATTTAACCCCAGTTGGGGGTTAAATGTGTGCAAGCCACTCAAACAACACCCAAATCAAATTTATAACCAGATCTCGTAATGTGTCCTTGCCTAAAGCTCAATTTTCATATTCACACAATGACTTAATTTGTCCATGACTTCCAAAACAATGGATATTGTTTTATATGACCATAATCTGACCTGTCACAGTTTGTTTAGGTTTAGGCACAAAAACTTAAATATTAGCCAAAGATCATGGCCGTGGTTGTGAGAAGAATAACGCTGGAAAATAACACAGCAGAAAAACAGCAACCGTCCATCCTGAAGTTGCATGTTGAAGATATTTTTATCCATATATCCAAATTACTTCTTTGATGGTTGCATGTTCCTTAAGGGTCCAGTAAGAAAATTAAGGAGTTGATTCAGACAGAATTCTGAGCCTTCACACTACAAAGTAATCTAAGTGACCAAGCACATATTTGATTGGCCTTGCTGTTTAATTTCACACAGTGTATGTAGTCTAATGCTTTTCTTTCAAAGGTTTATTTTCCTGTGCTGTCTCTAATGTTTATGTACCTGTCTGAATTTTTATGTGCACTTAATTTAAGAGTCCTCCACCAACGTCGAAGTGGAGATTTTAAAAAGTATTACACTTATGCATTAGAAACAGAGACATTGTTTTTTGAATTTATGTATTACTTTCTTTTACTGAAAACATTACCCATAATGCAACATAACTGCAGTTCAGGCCAGAGAGCCTCTTAACCACTTAGAGAATCCTGAATGGAAATCTATGATAGATGTATATACGTTATATATCTATAACGTCAATGATGGCGGTCGTTTGACAAAAAAAAAGCATATTGTTAGCTTTGTAGCAACCAAACTGGTAAACATCCAATCACTGGTGTTGTTGCACTGATGCAGACACAGTGTCTTGAGACTACCTAACCTGCAAGTAAAATGCTTTACAAACTAGATTTTGGGCCACATAATAACTGCCAGGAGGTGTTACCAAGATGGCTGCTTATTGGTGAGACTTTCCTTTCCGCAGTTTAGTTCTGACAAACATTTTTTTCATGCGAGAAGCAGCTAATGTTGCCTGGAGTTGCTGGTCTGAGCCAAGATGAGGAGCTGGCTGCACAGGTTTATGTTTTTCATTTTCAAACATGCAGTATTCAGACCTAACTGGTGATTCCAGTGACAACACTTGAGGAAATCTGTCCAGGGTCTTTCCAGATTCTTTAAAAGTCTGTAAAATATGATGCCTAAAATATCTTTAAAAGGCTGATTATGAAAGAGCTTACATTTCAAGACCTAACAAATCAGATACGAAATGATGTTACGTGTTGAAGTAAACAATCAGCTGTTTGCTTTTGTCCTCGTTTTAGAGTATGTTTGGCCCAATTTTCCCTCAAGGTAAGAAGGGCCATGGAGTACAAAATAAATACAAATGATGCTAAGCTAAAGACAGATACAGGATTAAAAAAAACAAAAAACACAGTCTTGTTATTGTAAACTGTAGTTATCGCTCAATGAATCTGATTTTTGTGAGTTTTATGTGTCATTTTCCATCCACTTTCATAAAAGTCTCTGGATTATTGTGACTGATTTTACACACATCATGTCAAACCCTAGCACACTTGTTTGTACTAGACATGGTACGTTTTCTTAGTTGAGGTCATAAAAGGGTCTTTAAAAGCACTGAACTGGATTTTAAACAGTGTGCAGATACAGTGGAGCTCTGTAGTCACAAAAAGGCTTAATAAAACCTTTTCCACACATGCAGTAGTTCTCCCCAGCATCCGAAAAACACACTTTGACGTGTAAAACCGCTGGAGTTCCCATTTAATGTGGCAATAACTGCAGAAAAATCAGTAGCAGAAAAACACATCGTATAAATGTGGATAATTATAGACAAGATCTAATAGGTTCATTTCAAAAGTTTTCCCATCTGTTGCTAATATGCTATTCTGTCATGCGTGAAGTGTTCATTTCAAAAAATGTGCACCAGTAGTGAGTGAAGCGACACTGTGTGTGAGGAGTAGCCATCATGTGTAATTAAAAGCAAGTATGTAAGCACTCTTACAAATGAAGGTAGTGAAATAAAGTATTCTATCCATTTGGCTACCATGACATTCATATTCTGGCAGCAAATAATAATCATGTCACTGATTAAACAGAAGTCCAAAGAAAAAGGGATAAAAGAAATGTCAAAATGAAAAGCAGGCCACAAACTGTGACGTACTTTCCGATGAATCATGACTTCAAATGGTGCTAGTAAGGTGTTTAAATAATGCACCTAATAAACTAGACTCTTTGTGAACATGGTGGATACATTAGGAGAACGTTTATTGTTCCAGTCCCCTTTCCGGCTCTTACTTTCCAATAGCGACTGGACAGAAAACAAAAATGTGTTTGACTGTACACCATACTGCTGGAAATTTGCAATTTAACAGACCTCAGGTAGTGTATCTGCCATCTCCCATATTCATCCTCCAGTGTCAGATTCAGTCACTTCACGCTAAATTGTCATTGGTCTTCTTAGTGCCAGTTTCTCAGTACTTATCGGTCAGAGCACAGATGTTGGTGCAGGCGTTCCTCAGACTGTAACAACAGATGATCTCCTTAAAAGTCTTCCTCATCTCCTGACTCCTGAAGGCATAGATGAGTGGGTCGATCACTGAGTTGCACATGATGAGGATGAGGTACATGTTGAAGTGGGACATAAAGCAAACGCAGTAGAGGTTTCGAGGGCAGGAGATCATCAGGATGAGGTGGAGGAAAAAAGGAGCCCAGCAGACGATGAAGATCCCCAAGAGGATGGTCAGCGTGATGGCCCCCTTCATGCTGGCCCGCTGGTGGATGGAGTTGTAGCCGGGCAGGGCAGCGATGCGCTTGACGTGTGAGCGGGCCAGCATGAACATATGGCTGTAGAGGGAGGCCATGATGAGTAGCATGGCGAAGAACATGGAAACCAGGCAGATAATGACAGGGGTGGTGTCTGAGTAGATGATGAAGACAATCCCGCAGCCGGTGCAGAAGGTCCAAATTCCCCCAATGATGCAGCCGGCTCTCCTCACTGTCATGATGTTGTGGTACCTCAGTGCGTAGAAGATAGTGACATACCTGTAAACAATAATACATATTGATTTCTTAAGTCACTTCACCTCAGTAAACCACAGCGTTTTATTGACCGTTTTTACCTCCTGAGGAATTGCAGAAATTGCCCAGGGAATTACTGAATGGGAAATACATTGCTGTGAATGAAAACACTGCTTTGTCATTTAGGGGAAATGTGGCTGCAGACAAGATGATGGACCTTAACAGCAGAATTTATGACCTCCTGTAAGAATATTGTTCTTTTTTGTGGTTTTCTTTAGACATTAGAGACTTTCGGTTAGGTGCAACTCATCACTGAAAAAAAGAAGATAAATACCTGGATGGGCTTATGTGATACTCCACACTACTTGGTTTACACCTGCTGCATTCATACCTTAATGGCTTTGTGGTAATGTCTTGTAAGAAGGTACACACAAAACGTCCAACTGATTTTGGATAATTCTGTTTAACTAAACTTATTAAGTAAAAATTCAGTCATTCTGCGATCATATGTTTGAAATAATGACAGACAGTTGACTTTGTTTAATCTGGACCCAAGTCCACCTCACACACAAAAGTTTAATGAAAAATAACATTTTGTTGTCAATTTATTAATGGCAGGACATATATTTGTAGATAAAAAATAAAGTGCAATTACAGAAGGAAGTTTTTTGTCTCAGCTCTCCGCTCCAGTAACCTAATGTCCAACTATACTTCCATCAGTCGCCAACTTTTATTTTTCATATTGTTAACAGAGAGTATTGATCTACTTTCAAAAGCTCAAGAATAAAGCAGTTTTGCTTAGTTTGGGACTTGTAATAATGCATTGTTGCCCATAAAGTTGGAATATTTTTTGTTGTTCAGACACAGTCCTCTTTTTATTTCTATTTATACACATCAGTAATCACTTCTGACCAGGTGCAATGATTACATACTGTGTCCCAGTTACCAGGTGAAACAAATTCTGACTTCTGGAGCTGACTGAAGAGTGGGCCGTCCTGCCCATTGACACCATCAACTAGTTTGTGGACAGTATGCTACAATGTTGTAATGCATTGATCCATGTCAGGGGGGGCCATACTCAATATTAGTGACTGAGGGACATTTGAAAGAGTAATAGTGGACATTGTTATGCATGAAATCCCCTCGAATATGTGCTTCCTGTTATATGACCAAGGTTGATGTAATATAATAAATAAATGACTTAAGTATTATTGTGAATATAGTGGCAGTGTTAAGTATGGGTAGGAAAGGCATTATGTATTACAGAACAGACCAGCTAAGCAAAACTTAGGGATGGATGACCATGAGAATGGAACAAACGATTTCAGAATGGTGACATTTGTGTGTTTTATTTTCTATGCCTCACTTACTCATGTCATGTTGAAGTGGACATCTTGACTCTAGTGTGTAAGGTAGGAAGGTTACTGCCAGTAGTCCACTGATGCAATTAGAGAGATCGCAACGCACCACAAGGATCATCCTTGTGAATTATTCATCACGCTTGATCAGTCCAGTGATAAATCAGGAGCAAAGGACGGCTGGGTTGATTAGGAAAGATAAACATGTATAGAAAAATGGGACACTTTCTGAAAATGTGTGTTCTGGAACAATCTCCAAAATAATTCCAGTGCCTCATCTCTCAATGTGATGTAAACATTAACTCTCTTACTGCAATATGCATGAGAAAAAAACTGAGAATACTCAATGCTCATGATACGTAATTACATCTCATTAACAAAAAAAAAATTGAATCACCTGGTGAATATTTGTTGTTGGATTACACTACTAAACTATATTGTTTAACTATTTTAATATCAGAACTGTTATTTCAGTTACCACTGTTATTCTGGATCACCATCACATCCAGCAATTTAAGAGACAGACAGCAGAAATAGTATGAATGGAGGAGGGGGCTGGTGCAAGGCTACAGCAGCTAAGTCCTACTCTCATGTGGCACACACACACATGCTGTGCATCATGTAAGAGGGCTTATTATATGTAATATGTAATGCTCTGCACATGTGAGGGAAGGTGGCAGACCGAGTGTGGCTCCGCAGGTTAATTGGCTGGCAGCTTGCACTCCTCAGTGTCTTAGATCCTATGTCTTAATGACAATGCTGCGTGATAGCAGTGATGAAGGAAAAAGCTGCACAGCAGACACTACAGGACCAGCAAACATTAATGAGTTTCAGATGAGGTCAAGGATAATGTTTTCAGTCATGCTTCAGGCATGTAGGGATTGTTTGACTGGAAAGGCACAGATGCTGCCTGTTTAGCTGGAGAAGCTACTGAGATATTTTGGATCCTTCCATGGTTTCTCTTCATTCAGCTCTATCCTCATTCTCTACTTGCTCTACCCACACGATTCACTTTTAGCAATTAAGCTCTCACCAAACTGTGTAAGATTAACTTGTTCAGCTTGCAGAAATTCATGATCTTGAATCATTGACCTAATCAGTCATTATTAGAAACCTTCGTTACCAAACTTTTATCGCCTCTATTTTTGCTTCAGATCTTGTCTCTGCTCATGTCCACTCATCTGTTACTCGTTTAGAGTGTCCCCTGCTAATGGGGAAATAAAAGTGCCATGTTTCTGAACATAAATTGTCTTTTTATCTCTTCTTTATATGTTTGTTCATGCATGCATATGCACATGTACATGGATGCATGATGGGTGGGGGAGTGGAATTGGGGGCAGTAGGCCAAATAAGAGGGAATAAAAGTGAGAGCCACCGCAGCATGAATAGGTGCCACATGCACATTTAAATATGGCCCTTCCACAAACAAAAAGGCACCAAGAGTACAGAAGAGCAAATCATGCCAATATGAGAGTTGACTCTGCAAGACTAATATTAAAGTTGATTTACAGCAAAAGACTATTTGAAAGCAATAACAAAATGCAGGAGAGCTTCACTGCATTAAAAATCCAATATGTTTTGGTTTGTTACTTGGTGACTGAATTTTCTGTTCTCCATCACATAAGCAAAGATGTTTAAACATTAAAGTGATGCAGAAAAGTCAGAAATTGGTGCATGAAAAATTGACCAGAATACAGGAAACACAATGTTGTTGTTTTGGGGTAAGACCTAGTCCCTGGCTTAATGTTCATCCATTATATATACATTGCTTAATCCTCACTAGGGCCGTGGAGGGCTGGAGTCTATCCCAGCTGACTCAGGGTGAAGGCAGGGGACACCCTGGACAGGTCACCAGTCTATCACAGGGCGACACTTAGAGACAGACAACCAAGCACACTCACATTCACACCTACAGACAATTTAGAATCACCAGTTAACCTCAACATGTTTTTGGACTGTGGAAGGAAGCCGGAGAACCCAGAGAGAACCCACGTTGCGCGGGGAGAACATGCAAACTCTACGCAGAAAGATCCCGGGTGTCCTCACCGGGACACGAACCGGCGATCTTCTAGCTGCGAGCCACCTTGCAGCTTAATGTGCTTTTTCTATATAAGGTAGTAACACAATTAGGTAGATATTATAGAGATGTCTGTAGGAATCCATGTAGAATAATTCTAAAATCTTACGAAATTAAGAACATTTAAGAGAGTCATTTAAACTCAAGTGAATATTATTCTACTTGTTACACAAAACAGAAAATTAGACAGCCATTTTTTCAGTATCTGCTCTCATCTGTTGTGCACCAGAACAAGATGTAATAAAAGAACACTGTGCTACTGTATCTGTTTCTTTGAAATAACTGAAAGAGTGCAAATTATAACATTACCTTCATTCTCTAGTTATTTTTCTGAAAAGTCATAGTCTTTTTGTGGACCGTTCCTAAATTATTCAACACATCAGATCTGTTCTAGGACATCCCCACCCAAACTGGGTGGGGAGAACTCAATTGTCTCTTGTAGATTTTATTAAAATTAAGTACAGTAATTGCTTGAATGCTTCAACCCATCATTACCTGTCCACAGCGATGGCCAGCAGACTACACATGGACGCAACGACAGAGATGCAGATCATGGAGTCAAACACGTTGTCCATCTGCCGGATGAAGTGGTCCTCCACCACCAGCTGTCTGTTGTTGAGGAGGTAAATGATGATGGTCTCCCAGGCGTTAGACACACTCACCAGCATGTCTGCGACTGCCAGGCTGCAACAACCACACAAGTACAATCCTTCATCACAACAAAGATGGTCACAAATCTATATATGTGCTTCCTCTTTTTCTCCCTATTCAGGAGCCAGCAGAGCCCTCCTGCTGTCTAATGACACATTTATGCCACAGTGGGGAAGAAAAAAAATGAATCCATTGATGATTAAATGTGCAATCTCTCACATTCTTTCAAGGTAAGACAAAGGCCTTGTCTTGAGATTCACATCCTTTCATCCATCCATTATCTATGCACCACTTAATCCTCACTGGGGTCATGGGGGGCTGGAGCCTATCCCAGTTGACTTAGGGTGAAGGCAGGGGACATCCTGGACAGGTCACCAGTCTATCACAGGGCTACACTTAGAGACAGACAACCAAGCACACTCACATTCACACCTAAGGACAATTTAGAATCACCAATTAACCTCAACATGTTTTTGGACTGTGGGAGGAAGCTGAAGGACCCTGTGAGAACCCACACGGGCAACATCACAGAAAAAGACCCCTCAGCACTCAACTCAGCCAGTTGAAAACATTTTTCACATTACACATTGACATTCTTGAGGGAAGCAGCCTCTTGGAATCTGTAGTGCTGCAAGCTGAACACTGATGATATAATGGTAGCATGCTCCCAATGGCAATGCACCTGTTCATGTTTAGGAGGTAATGTCTACTATGTCACTATTAGCCTAGCATGTTGGCATGCTATCCCTACATTTATTATCTATATCCTCTTTTGGGGAAGATCCAGCAGTTATCACTGCGTAAATATGGAAACTAAAGCTGAATCATTTTAATCCTGAATTGTTGTTGTCTAACATGCTATTTCAGGGCTGTATCAACATGAATCAAGAATCCGGCTCTTGGACGACCAGCCGGATTGTCAGCAGAGTTTAAGACATGCAACCTGACACAGCTGTTCTGTTTGAATAATCTTCAGTGATGACTGGACAAAACTCATGAGTGCTCTCATGGTCAGTGGGAGCTCCAGCACCTTCTCATCCAGCACTAATTTCCATAAAGTAAAACATTTTAGGCTTTTGACCCCGACAAAGCAGTTTGCTCAAGTACCACAGTAAATGAACAGGCAAACTTTGCAGAGTTGTCCTTTGACGTGTCTTAACTGTCTCTGAATGAGTGTCCAGGTACAGTACATCGTAACTACACATTGCTGCTGACACTGAAGATTAACAAAGCAATTGAAAATACATTAATTTCCATTAGATTGAATGCATTTTAAAAAATAAAAGATATCAATACTGCCATCCTACAGTGACCATCTCTGCCTTGCTGTAACTCTTGGGGAGTCATTTGAAACCACATCAAAACAAGCAGTATCCACCAGTTGAACAGTAATTTGAACGGTGAGTTGAATGTCTGCTTTGTCTCTGAATTCACTGCTGGTGTCAGCTGAGGCTCTTTCGCATCGGTCTTGGGGAAGAGATTAAATTATTTTAAGTCCGAAGGCCCAGATCCAAATTTAATCACAAGTAGTTAATGCTAACATTAAAACTGAGTTACAGGTCTTTTAAATTTGTCAAGTTGAGTCATCACATTTGTGTCTGGACTTAAACATGTAAATCTGATTGTCCATGTCACATGATGTGAGTCTACATCTATAGTAAATGACAAAATCAAAAGGTGTTTTCAACAACCACAATCTTCCAGTCATCACCCTGAGCAGGGTACACGATTATAATGTCAGAAAACTGTGTTATATCTCAAGGATTGCACAGCAATTTATTCATCCACTTGTAATCACGGAAAACTATATGTCAGTCAGGTTTCTGCTTTCTAAGGCAACTGAATATTCTTCAGTGGAGTCCTAACTTCTCTGGATCAGCACACACCCGAGTCGTCTCTCAAGTCAAAGCAAAGTTTTACAGCAAGGAGCCAACAGATTACAGATTCTGAACAAGTGACTGACTGAAAACATGAAGCATCGATTCTTACATACAGACAATGAATAGAAAACAGAAACCAACCTCCTGCAAATGGAGGATCATAACATTCCAACAGCAACATATACTGCTACATATTTTTGTAAGCAGGAAAAATAAGTAGATGTCACATCACAATTTAATTTTTTAAAAAGTTTTAAAAAAAAATGTAATCTGCTCATGACGAGTTCAAAATGCACAATTATTTTTGTCGGTTCTTCATCTTTTATAAACTCTTATTGAGAATCCATCCATCCATTATCTGTACACCTCTTAATCCTCACTGGGGGGCTGGAGTCTATACCCTATGATTTAGGGCAAAGGCAGGGGACACCCTGGACAGGTCGCCAGTCTATCACAGGGCTACACTTAGAGACAGACAACCAAGCATGCACAGATTTGTCACCTTCACAACCTGATTACTTGCATGTCTACCCAGATAAAACTGTCTATTCAAAACTATGTATTTGAAGGGCTCTGAGAGGACACCTGCATTATTATTTAATCATAATGCCTGAATTAGTAATCTAATCATACATTATCCAAATTTCAATATTGCATACACAATACATCAAGAGTGAGATAAATAGGGGGTTCGGTAGCCTGAGGCCTGCATATATTACACAAAGACAGAGGATAAGCATAAATAAATGGAACTTTAATTTTAATGAATACTATATTTTCTAATCCTGCACCCACAGTAAACATGGGAATTCCTGGAAAACTCCATTTATCCAGATTGATGTGTTACTAGCACTCACCTGCACACAAAAAAATACATGGGAGAGTGAAGGTTCTTGTTCTTTACTATGGCTGTGATAACCAGGATGTTCTCCAGCAAAGAGATGATACCCAGTATCAGAAAGACCTGAAATACACCACAACAGGGAGAAGAGCAAAGATGAATAGAATGGTACAGTACCACAGGACAAGGTACAATAGTGGAATCCAACTTGAGGGTTGAGATCCCCAAAGGGGTCACAAGATAAATCTAAAATGTTACGAGATAATTAACAAAGTACTATAAACGCAGACACCCACAAACCCATACAGACCTCCACAGCGATGTGGACCTGTTCACATGCTGCAGGTTTGGAGGTGCTGGTCTTGTCCGGTAGCAGTGGAGGGGCCAGGGTGTAGTTCTGATGATAGTAGGCCCAGGTGGAGTTACCCAGTAGTTCCTCCTCCTGGTAGGACTCAGACATGTTCATCGCTGCTGTGACTCTGATCCACATCATTGCAGCTCTAATCTGGATACCATTTTTAAAGGAAGCTGACAGAGAAGACAGATGTGAAATAAGATGGTGTCTTGCTGCAGGATTATTGAATGACTATCATGTTGAGAAGTTCATAACGTTGGAGTAGTTTAGCTTTGATATACATAAAAACAAACTTGATTCTTCCCACGAATCTGACAAATTATGTGGCTGAAACTGCAAAACTACTTTGTTGACCATTTGCGGGCAGCAGAAACAAACACTGACATATTGTTAGTTACAGATAACACACACATAACAGAACGTTAGTTAAACATTCATTCTCTTTTTGCTCTTAGTTTGGTCTCCACCACCATCTAAAGGAAAATATCTGGCACCTAGCGCTAACACATTTTTCCTGCTGCCTGCTTCAGCTGAAACATAATTTAATGTTTACACAAGGTACAGGTCAGCCTAAACTTATACAAGTGCACTAGTTTGGAATGAAGGAGTTTTGGAACCCTTAGTTAATTGTTTTTGTTATTATTGGTAAAATCAGACATTTCTGAAGGTGATCAGTTGATAAGATTATACAAATCAGTCACAGTTGTCAAAGGATGGCAAAGAAATTACACCTCATTAAAAATCTGTGAGTTATAGTGTAGCCTTAAATGTCCAGGCAACATGGCAGAGAGACATATGTTGACGGTCCTCTGATTACGCACACAACAAGGCTTCATTGTTAAGATCCTGACCTCAGCTGATGAGATGTGATAAGAACATACAGAAAGATTGACTTTAACTCTTCAACACAGTGAAGTGACTCCCCTGTTTTTCTAACTCATGACCTGACAAGCCAACCCTCCGGTGATGTCAAATGACACCATATGAGTCGCTTCTAGATTTGCACGGAAGTCATATACATGGAGGTCAAACTCTCATGGTCTATTGGAAAAAAATTCCCCAGAGTCATGCCGTACATAATCCATTTCCAGGATGTCTAGACACGAAATGGAAAAAGAGAGGAGAAAACTGATGACAAAATAAAACCATTCAGAATTAAGTGATAAACTTAATTCTGCATGCCCCTGTAGCTCCTGTTTGGACTGCAGATCGTCTAATTTCAGCAGAATGCATTTATCCAAATCCTTGCAAAGTGATACTATGAGCTCAGCAGGTACAGCAATTAACCTCTGACGCAGGGTTAAATGAAAAAGCCGTGCCAGTAATGTTTGAAGAGTTAGAACATTTTACTGCGGTCATTCATACACATTTAACTGTAGGAAGTATGTCAGCGCAAATGGAATGTAATTTTTCCAGTAGTACTTAACACAGCTGTCGTCTATAGCGTTTCAAAGACGAGAGGAAATCAACCATGTACAGCGTTCTTTCACGCGAGGGCAATTATATATAAATTGTTTTCCCTATATGGAGTGTTTCCCAGTTTTTCGAATATATAAACATCTAAATTAGGTTTTTTAATATCATATATTCAACAGACATACAGAAACTGGTAATAAGATTTCCGACCTGCTGTAATGACTGAAAATATGCTTATTTTTAGTATCCAATTTATAGATGTTTCCCATATTTAATCAGCATGGCAGCAGCCGATAACTGGCCATATGTCAAACCCACACACACTGAGGAAGCTATATGGAAGTTAGATTTATTATTTCAAGCAGCAACAAACAGACATTACTATCATTTGATACTTTATGTAAAAAAAAAAAAAAATGGGGAAGGTTGTTTCAAAAAAAAAAAAAAAAAAAGGCATCTAATGATTCTGCATGGGTTCAGGGAAAACCCAAATTGCTTTCAGAAATAAAAGTATGATTTGTTCAAACTTTGCCTGTGACACACAAACTCACCAGCAAGAAGATCATCAAAAATAGTCTGTCTCACCCTGCTGGGTCTCATGAAACAAGCAAGACTGAGTTTTTCAAATCTTTGAAAATATTCTTCTGAAAGACTGTGCGCATCAGTCTGAGACAGAACTATAAATGAACAGCAGAAGATTTAATTAAATTCTACATGCATGGATTACCAAACAGTGCTGGGGTACATGGGAGCCCTTGGGCATAGGCCCCGAGGGCTAAATAGTCAGGGTGGCTCTTAGCCAGAGCCTGTTCTCGAAGATACTAACCATTTTTGTCAGAAACCGATAGGGGCTCAGCCAGCGTTTCATAATGACTACCTGCCCATAAATCTGCCTCTGTAGTGGCAATGTAACACAGAATACTGGGAAACAGTGAGGATAGCAATACTGTAAAAATACAATATCTAGGTTGACATACTGTGTATCAACATGTGAATCTCACAATAACCAATAAGTACCAGTTACAAAAAGTTAACTGCACAAGACCAACCAGTCTGAGCCAACATCTGTAACATCTGTACACGGCAAAGCTTCTCCCAAGTTTGTATGAACACAGACTTGATTTCATTTACTGAATAAGACCAAGCCTAAACTTTGCAGCAATGTCCACTTTGATGAATGAATAATGACACACCAATTACAAAAGATCTGCCAAAACAGTATAGTAATGTCTATTTAATAAAGGTCCCAGTTTACAGTGTAGTTTGTTGCATGTTGTACAAAAATACTTCAGCACTCACCAAGGACCGTTTTAGGAACAGCCTACAGATAGTGGAGACAGGGCCTATCTTTACTCTTTCTGCTCCATCATTTGCATCACATCACTTCATGATGTGAATCTACAGTTCTATCAAAAGATGTTTGGTGACATCTGAAGTCAGCTGAACTCATACTGTATGTATATATATATATATATATATGTGTGTGTGTGTGTGTGTGTGTGTATGTAAAAACAAAAATCTGGTCCTACTGCTGTTTTGTAGTGTGTTCTTTATTGCAGTGTCTATTGAAAGAGATATTTCACTTCTATATGACTTAATAGATCACACTGGCAGATTGTCAAAGCAGCCTGTTTGATTCTAAAATTGTTTCCCACACGCTTCTGCAAGAAAACATTGTTGACAAAACCAATGTCACATTTTTTCTGTGAAACACATCAAGCGTGCAAAAGAAGGACTCTCGGTATTTAATGAAGACCACAAACTATTTGAAAATCTATCAGCAGGATTTTTGGTTGGTAGCAGAGCCCAGAGTGACTCATTAACACTGTAAGAGAAAAAAGAAGCCCGGAGGGTCTTTTATCTGATGCAAACACAAAGACATTATGAAAATATTTTTGCATTTGATTAGTGTGCAGGTTGCAGCCACCTGTCGTCTGAGCTGTGATGTGTTCACAGGCTGGTGTGCAGTTTCCTGCACACTCTGATGTGACTTCTGTTGCAGTTTGAGGATGCCACAGTGGAGGACACGTGCAGCATGTGTTGTGAACATCGAAGCCAGGTATCATCAATGCACAACCTAACAACCTTTAATTCTAGGGCTTGTCGAATTCACAGTATATGGTGTTTTTTCTCAACGTTAAGAGTACTTTTTGTGACCATGACTGCTTGTGTGTTCATGTTAACCCTCCCTGTACCTCCACACATCAGCTGCTCTGATCATATGCTTTCTGTTTGTCTCTTATGGGTTTTCTGTTTTCCCTCAGGCCCACTCTAACCTCTACTCTATACTCTACAAGTGGCCATTAATGTACATCAGGATGTGTATGTCACTGTGCTTTCAGAGAATGGGACGTCAGCTATTTACAGAAGCAAAAATGAATTAAATCTGATCACATTGATGTGTTAATCACAACAAAACAAGAACCTGTGAGCTTCTATTCTTTGTACATATGCCAGGCCTATAAACAAACAAGCTGGTTACACAGCGCAGTCAGAAAGAGCTAAAATTAAACATAAATAGGCCAATGATGTGATGTTTTTTAATGTGTCCTACTTTACCTATTTATGATGTGAATGATAATGCATTCATATGAATGTCTGTGGCTACATCTCCAGGTGTTGTACAATGAACCATTGTTCTAAAGTGCTCTGTGATGCTATTATAACCTCAAATAATGCTGTACCACTAGAATACTGAGTTATATTAATGTTGTCAGTTAAATTATTCTAATAAAGTATCATTCCTTTAACCTCCAATAAGTAAGAAAAAAAAGATTTTTGTCATTTAACACCATTTACTATCAGCTGAGAATTCAAATTACTACTATTCATTTATTTAGTTTAACTAAATAAAGTTCTTCCAGCTAACACTGCTTGAGCTACACTTTGTTTTGTTTATTATTTTGGTTCAAACTGATGCTACGGCAATATGCAGTATATAATAACAGCTAATAACAGTTCATTGTAGTGTTATAGAATAACACATTAGCTCTTAGCTGTAGTTGGATGGGTCAGGATATCTGCCATCTTCAGATTTCAGCAGTCTAAGTAAACACTAACAAAACGAAAAAAGTTGCTAAAAATGCTATTACTGTCTACTCTGCAGGGTGTCATATGAATAAAATGTAATGTTGTAAATGTTGAGTGATGGTTGTTTCCCAGCGGAGTTGGACATGTTAAGGTTAAACATATTACATTTGTTTAATGTAACACAATATCTGTTAAGTAGCAGCATTTAATTATCCCTGAAAAGAGACTTTGGCTTGCATGAGATGTCCACGTTTGGTTGCTTATGCCTGCACTTACCTACTTTTTAACCTCATGTATGTGTATCAAAACTCAAAAAAATAAACAAAAAAAAATTTAAAAATCTACTTTCTCAGTTGTAATTACAACTTGGATGTTGACATGAATGTCATTTACAAGTGGGAAACTAATCATTATGGATGAAAGCAGTATTAGTGCCATACAAGAACACACACTTATATATATAAATATATATATGTAAGCATTATGCCACATTAATATATATATATATTTGCTTCCACCACTGGCAATCACGTCTCAATAAAATTCCCTTTTGACACTAATAAAATGAATGTGGTTAATCTAAAAGGAGCTATACTAACCTTGCTTAATAAGTAGCACAGCAAAGTAGCTAATTTAGGCTATTTAGATGATGAAACGACTGAGCTGGTGACTGGAACAATGTGTGGACTTGACTGGACTTTTCCATTTTATCGCATTCTGCTGACATTGCAGAACACTGGAGGGGCAGGAAATGTTGCAGGGGGGACATCGGGAATAGACAGATGATTAAATATGTTCCCAAACCCCCAAAATGAAAAAAAAAAGAAAATCAGAAGAACAGAAAATGAAAATGAATCAGTGAAAGATAAACAGAAGACTAATATGAAAAATGAAGTTTCGTTTATTTCTTTGGCAACGGAATGAAATAACAAGAATAAAGCATCATGTTTAGTTTAACATTCTGTTTTTTATTGCTATTATTGATCTCGACATTTATTTAACTAACAGTATCATTTATGTGTGTGTATTTAAGAAAACATTTTAGGAAAGAAACCCCTCATACATTTTGTCAGTTTTAAGGCTTCATATACAATATTTACGGTAAAGAAACCTATATAATTTTAGATTAGTGTAACTGTTACACTCTACTGACTACCCGACTGAAAAGGACAGTCACTAAATGTTGGGATGTAACAGCTGCCGGAGCTCCTTTCACTCTGATCTGCGATACTGATCCACCACAATAAACCGAGCACAACACTGAGATCTCAGCCGGCACCTGATTGTGATGATGACTGAGTCCAGTGACAGTGGCGAGGATGACAACTGAACACCATGGCCAGGAGCACTTCTTCAAAGGTTGCCATGGCTACGTGATCATAAACATACTGTTAGATAGCATTTTCTTTTGCTCTCAGACATATATCCAAAAATATCAGAATTATCACCATTCAAGTCATGATCAAGCGCTGCTTGGCTAGTAGCCACATGAAGTCACATGCTAATTAACAAGTGGGGGCTGCTACTAATAGATTCACTCTGTGGATTATTTTAATTAGGTGGAGAATTATACCATTCCCTGATATTGTTATGCATTTTTTGTGTCTGTGATACTACACTGTAAATTTAAATGGAAACAAAACATGCATCAAACAGAACTGCTTGTTTTACTGATTGATATATCTATATATGAAGACATGAATGAGCAGGATGCTATTACATTTTTTATTTTTTTTTTGATGTGGGTGAAACAACCTCTTTCTGCAGTCAGCGTTTTGGACCAATTTCTTCTTAATTTTACATTCTCCGATTGGAAAACCCTGGTTGTGGTTTAAACTGAAGAAGACCCTACAAAACTGAATCTTATCTATGTCAGCATACAAAATAATATCACAGATGTTTTTCCAGTTGTGTTCTATTAAAGCCAGCAGATCCTGTTAAATCACTATTTATAGGAGCATTAATACGGTGAATTCCCATACGTCTCTTCTTCTGTAGATTTGTGAGAAGAGCTTGCAGAAAGGACGAACCAGTCATAATGCAAAGCAAATAACAGAAGTGAAATAAACATAGATATGGAGGTGTGTTTTTGTTCCCTCAGCAGGAGATGTGTTTGTCAGTACCCAGACAGGTCAGTCAGTAAAAAGGCAGCTCCTCGTCTCACACTGAGTGATGCACTGCTGCTGCTTTGCCACCGTGGTGACTAATGTTTGTAAGAAAAGGATTTCTCCAGACAGTCATTACAATGACAATTACACAGCAAAAGAAAGGCCTTTCCTACACAATAGGGATGCTAATGCTAGTGAATCAGCTTTTATAGAGTGTTGCTTTTCTGCTTCGATTTTGTGCCACACAGTCCTGACATAATATGTGCTCCAACTGTCAATAGCTAACAGGCAACTCTGTGCTGAAAAACAGAAACTTACTGCATTTCATGGCTGCCCATTGGCCGCCGAGTCATGAGTTGCTCTGATTAATCCAAGGCTGTAGCAACTTCAGCTGAAGTAAATGCACATCTGGCAGCATGCCATGAGACTGAGCAGCATCTGGAGCTCGCTGTGTTTGTGTTTCCACAGGACGTAACAGAGCACCTCAAAAGGAGGCTCTATCTTCACTGTAACAGCAATCCTGCACATTTCATGGCAAATCATAGCCTCAGCAAAATGCAATAATTCACATTACCACAGTTGCTTCATTTCTTAACAGATGTAAGCCAACAGTGCTGTTGGCAAAGTTCCTTCTAGGGTAAAAATTCCTCCTAGTTTTTCATTGTTGAATACATTTGCTGCATAGCTTTGTGTCCACTGAGGCTTAATATGTATGAACTTTCTTGAACAGTGTGTGGATACTGTTTATTAGCATGCAGGGTGTAAGGGGTGGCTGCCCCAGTAGGCTGATTTGAGGATTTACAAGTTTAGGATAAAATATCTACAACTGCAATATTGGATGAAGCTCTCAGTACTTGACCAGACAACAAAACATGGAAATTATGTCTAAACATTACAAAGTGTGACAATATCATGCAGCTGCAGGTTCAGGCATATAACACAGTAAATTCACTGCAAACTCTGCACTGGTACCACAGACACACACACAGTTTCCTGACAAATATCATAGTAAAAATAATCCACCGTGGTGATGTAACATTAAAACCACAGGTTTCTGTCAGCCGGTGTAATGCCAGCTATTTATGTTAGTGACAGTTTTGACAAAATGAATGTAATAACACAAAGATGTCTTCTGAGACGGTGATAAAAATAAATAAATAAATAAATAAAAAACCACCATGAGTGGGGAGACGGAGATAAAAAATGACTCACCTCTCGCAGGAGCGGTGACTCAAATCCTTCCCACAAGTTGTTCAGATGGACTGGATGATGCCTCTGTGCAGCATCGGAACAGTGGATTTATGCATCGGGAGAAAGGAGATGCTGAGCTGTGAGAGGGAGTGAGAGAGAGCGAGAAGAAAGAGAGGAAGAGAGAGAGAGAGAGAGAGAGAGAGAGGGAGAGAGAGAGGGAGAAAGAAAGAGAGGGTGGGAGGGAGGGAGAAAGAGAGCGTGAGAGGAAGGGAGGGAGAGGAACTCCCTTTTTAGTTCTGACAGTGTGGACACGACACGCAGCCACTGCCAGCACTCTCTTCCACGTTGATAAAGATTCTGTGTGAGAAAATCCATTTTAGAGCAATTGCGCTCTCAGATGCAGCTTGGTTCAGAAGTCTGACCTGCAGTGTAGCAATAATGAAATGAAGCTGATATTTGAATACAACTTTTAGAAGGATTTTTAATGCCTTTGTTGGGTTATATTTCAAGCCCATACGAATACATACAGCAATCAATCACAACACTAGACCCTTGAAAGATTATATTATCTTTTTATAATGGCAAGAGTCAGTTGATGTGTTGGATACAGGAAAAATGCCCAAGAGTATGGGTCTGAGGGATTTTAACAGGATGATGACTGGTTCAAAGCATCTCCAAAACGGCTGGTCTTGTTGGATTTTTCCTGTACAAATCAGTTGCCAGTACCTACCAAAAATGACCCAAGAAAGGACAACTGGTTATAGACGCCCAAGTCTCACTGATGTGGGGGTGGAGCAATGGCTGGCCCATGTGGTCTGATCTCACAGAACAGTTACTGCAGCACAAATTGTTGAGAACCTCACCGCTGACTACAATAGAAAGGTGTTCGAACACACAGTGCATCACAGCTTGAGATTGTGTAGCAGCAGCCTGATCCTGTTGCTGTGGCCACACAACTCTATCCTTGAGTCATCCCTCCAGAGCACATTATTCCAACAGGCCTGCTGATTGCCAGTATGTTCACAGGTAAACTGTAGTTTTGCTACAATGTCCTTTTTGTACAGCAAAGGCTTTTTTTCTTTAAGACTTAGCGTTTGCTTTTTGGCTAGATTTGATGGCAAATTGACAGTTGTTTGAAATCTGCACCAGTTGTAGATGATTTTCCTTTGAGGGGAGTTATTTATTTCAAATCATTTAAAGATCTTTTTAATCCCCTTTGACAGACTCATACTGTTTTTTTTTTCTAGAGAGCTCTTTAGACCATGGTATGGTGAGACCACACACTTGAATAAAAAAAGAGAACAGCAGGTCATAGATTGCCACATTTGATCAAGACAGGCTCCATCTAATCCCTGGCACCTAATCTGGAAACACTCATTCTAATTGTATAGATCTGAAGGTGTGATAACTGTGGTGGAGGGATTGTGACTGATCTGTCTGTAGTTGTGCCAATTATACTTAAACACAGTATTTGTATTACGTGTGTATTAAATATATTTATTTTTGATTAAATTAAAAGATCAGAATATTAATCCACATCCACCTATTGGAGTCAAGACCAAGTGAATATTTTGCAAGAGTTTGATAAGTCTGTCCCTGCATTGTTCTGGTATATATATATATTAATCACATAATTATTATGCTGTGCGCACAGTTGCTGACATGCTTCCCAAAGTAGAAGCACATAACAAGGTGACTCAAGTCGAAGACTAAACCGGCAATTCATTAACTGCAGTGCCGATGGTAGAAACACTGGCTATTCTAATTTTCCACAATTAAATTGTTCTTGATAAGCAGGCCACAGCAAGCCAAGTGTAGAGATGTGAAAATACAATACAGCACCTTAAAAAAAAAGTTACCTGTAGCTGAAAATAATTGGCTGGTTACAGGTTCCATGCTCAGCCACCAAACATTAAATGTGAGGTTCATTCTAAGGTAATCAAAGGAACATTTTTGACAAGACCATTGGAAGGCCAGTGTGTAGGTCTTAGTGGCATCTATCCCTTGCCTCACCCTCCTCTTCATGTTTGTAGGAGAACCTATCCTGGTTGCTGAAAAAAAACCCAAATCTCTCTGTAGCACCAGTGTTTGGTTTGTCCAGTATTACAGCTATTGTGGAACATGGCAGACATGCTTCCTATGTAGATACATAGTGCAATGACATCTCTGCATTCAGGGCCAGTGGGGCCTGGCCCCACCAGTTGTCGCTGTGGAACTCTATGCTGGCATAAAATAATTAAGTGGGAAAAAATCGGTCTTTATAGAGTAGTAATCTATAAAGAATATCTTATCAAGAACAATAATAATAATCTAAAGAGACCAATTATGTTGCCAAGACAATTTCATTATTAACATTTATGCATAATCAAAAGGCTTTGCCCACAGAATGGCGACAAGTAGCCTAATTCCTCTTGACGCACCTGAAAAAGGGGCCTGCCCATCAGCATTTGTTTCAGAGATGAACTGCTGAAATCATGGTGCGCATGTTCAAAACTGCTCTTCGTAGACAGCTGCAGGGCACAGTTTTTGTGGCCCCAAGCCGAGGTCATCCAATCAAAATATTGGAATGACATACGTCAAGACATAATAAACGTGCATAGTTTTGGCAGAAGGTAGTACGCAGCAAGCTAGGTTGGTTTTCATTGTGAGCGAACAAGACAAAAAAAATAATAAATGAATGAAGCAGATTCTTTGATAACGACTAAATTTAACACTTTGCCACACCAACACTGGTGAGTGACACTTTTTAGTGACCCTTAATTTTTAATGCTATGCATAACAATAGGTTGTGTTCTTGAATTACGTTGATCAATCAGTCTCAGGTTGTACTGTATGTATCACAGAAGAATCAGATGCTTCTTATAGCTGTAGAGTGTGTTGTGCCCCACTCAACTTTTCATGCCAGAGGCGCCACTGATACAGTGCTTATTCTAGGATTACAAAAAGATAGTTCCTTCCTAAATTCACAATGATGACCAAAACCAAAAGAGCCTCCTTAATCGTATACACAAGACCTTTAAAAGTCCGAAAGAATGGTTTAAATCAATGGAGCAGAAGCAGACATATTCTGACATTTATTCAATAGAATCCCATTATATAATTCGCATACTGCAGTTTGATTACATCTTTTCATTCCCTAACTCAGCGTATATCCTGTCTTTTACAACATCACTATGATGTCATACAGGCTATTTTCTCACACATACTCCTCGAGTACCATGGGTTTGTGCAGTCCTGCCAAGCCACAGTGTTTTGTTCTATCTTAGCGGGACACTTTACATTATCGTTTTCTCATGTTTTGGTTGCTTTGTTTCTCCATGGCTTCCTAATGAGAGTGTGCAGGAGCAACAGGAAGAGGAAATATCCCACTCCCAGCAATACTAAGGTGGTAAAACGACAATACTCAATAAGGCAATAGATCTGTTTACCCTTTAAATCACGGAACAATGAGAAAGCCGTCTACACATGTTGTAATTGATTTAAAAAAAATTAAAAAAAGTATTACCTGATAATAGCAGCATCTATCTCAAAAGGAACGTTCTACAGAAATAGTTTTTTTCAGTGTTCGATGGTGAACTAATTAACTGACAAACTGGCAGTTTAAATGTCTCACAGCCAATTGACTTGAATGTTTTTTTCCTGCTGCACATCCACTGAACAACCTACTTATTTTTTATCTTCTACATGCAGCAAAGGAGGTCTTACTGAGCACAAAAAGGAAAGGATGTTAATAATTCATAATTAATTAGCCACATATTTTTCCTGCTTTAAGAAATTGGCCCTGTGTTTATTTTTGCAGAATTCTCTAACTTTATTATTTAAGACATTTTTTCTTTTTTCTTTTTCCTGATTTCTGTATTTTTCATCATTTCTATCTGAAGCTCAATTGTGTTGGAGTTGTTTCATGTCTCTTCCTTCTTCTTCAGTCCCTTAAATAATGCTAGGACTGTTTGTACTACTGTTGTATTTCTCTCAGTGTGACAGTGCAGGCCTATAGCAGTTATTTGCATTGCCCTTAGATGACCTACTTGACACTGCACAAGCATCACAGGCATGAAAACATGATCAGTCTTCTGACTGAAGACAGTTCTTAAGCAGTCTTTAAACAAGTTGTACTACATGGCCTTATTTCCTGAACAAAAATTCTCTTTAAGATACATAAATGTGACACTATGACAGAGAATTCCAAGAAAGAAATGTCCTGGTATATATTGTGAACACTCTGGATGACAAAGGATAACTTTCACTGCTCACAAAGCGTGTGCTACTTGATTGCTTTGACTATGTCTTTTTTGTAATTAATTCTGAGTTTGACTGTTGAGACACCTGATACACTCCACTGTGTTTACCGATGAATGACTATCCTTTGGGATATTTTATTAAGTGGAACTCAAGTTAAATTTGACCTAATTTTGAATAAACAGCACTAACTATACTTCTATTTGCACTCGCAATAATGGACATCTTTTTCTCTTCTCCTTCCTCCACTGAGTCTAACCTTCACTGTACCCATTTCAAGAAAGTTCTGTTGAATGTATATAAGCAGGAGATGAGGCTGGACCATTGTAAGGTGCATGTCGACAGTGGGTTACGCTTTGGACACACTTGTGCATATTCCTGCCTCAAATTCCAGCAAATTCATTAAACCAAATGAAAGATGCGTCTAAGAAATTCTCATTGGCAGCTACATTAACCACGTTTGAGCCTCTCGAGTGGTAATTAGATCTGGGAGAAATGCTTGCGAGACCTCCCACTGATCTGTTTATTTTTTAAGCTATTAAGCTCCAAAGAACCACTTGAGCAATTTAATTATCCAACAGAGGAAGAGACCCTTCTTTTATTTTCCAACTCTGCCTTTTACTTCAGTAAGTAACCAAACCTAATCTTCTAAACTGTCAGTATCTCTGCCATATGTTGCAGTTTACCAGTAATAAAAAGCAAAATCTTATCTTGCCCCTTTTCCTAAATGTCTTTTTGTTTTTGAATTGCCTTTCTGATCTGTTTCTTTAACACTGCAGGAAGTGGAAGATGCAGAAAATTCCCAAGTCACATTTAAATGACA